CACTCAACAAATCGCCTCCTTGATATCAGTCTTCGGACAGCTCGTCCCATCTCAAGCGACCACGTCAACCAATGGAAGTCAGCTCGTGGAATCGATTTCAACTCGGATTCCAAACTTCATATACGAGCCTGATGAGGATCTGACATTTGACAGTTGGTACAACAGATATGGAGACGTCATCACCAAGGACGGATCAACTCTCACCGATGAGGCCAAAGCAAGGTTAGTTTTATCTAAACTCAACACAAAAGAGTATTCTCACTTTGCAAATCGTATCCTCCCGGAAACTCCAAACTCCCTAAAGTTCGAGGACCTCTTTCCGAAGCTCAAGGAGACATTCAAGTCGACCTCATCGATCTTCCGGAAGCGTCAGGAGTTCCTACGCACAGAATACGATGGCTCATCGATCGAAGAGTACACTGGGCTCGTGTTGCGACGGTTCACGTCATCAGAATTCAAGACGATGACGGACGATCAAACATGCTGCATGGTCTGGATAAATGGATTAAGAGACAACAGCTACTCGGACATCCGTACAAAAGCACTTCAGATCATGGAAGCAAAGCCTACATGTACACTGCTCGAGTTGGAAAAGGAAATCAAGCGTCTACTAGATGTGAGAGCCGATTCCAAGAGTGTGTGCAGCGCTGCAAAGCAGAACGAGATCAATGCCATTCATCAAAAAGCATCAAGTCGGGATAAATCACAGAAGCCACCACCTTCACCTTGTTTCAAATGCGGAGGCAACCACTGGGCCAGAGACTGTCAGAAGCAGGTCAAATGCACTTTGTGTCAAAAAGACGGGCATATTGCCAAGTTTTGCAGAACCAAAAAACGGGATGCAAATGTACAAAAAGGCAACTTCAGCAAAGTCAAATCAGTCATCGTGGGATCGGCTACCAATTCGCAACGCAACCGTATCTACCGTGTCGTGACCATCAACGGAATGAAGATTCAGATGCAGTTAGACACGGGAGCTGATGTCACACTGATAAGAACTAAAGATTGGAATCGATTGGGTCGCCCATCTCTACTGGCACCCACTATCCAAGTCAAGTCGGCTAATCATCAACCAATAGCCGTCAAAGGATCATTCCAATGTCAATTCAATCTGAATGGAACATCAGCAACAGGAATCGCTCATGTTGCTGAAACTGGAACTCTTCTGNGAACCGACTGGATCTCAAAGGATAAGAAGCTCTGGAACATTCTCAACCCAAGTCAAATCAGCGCAGTTCATTCCGATGCTGGATCAGCATGCAACTACCTGGACATCACTCGGAACAGACTGAAAGCTGAGTTGAACAACGAATTTTCAGATGTGTTTAAACCAGAACTAGGACGATGCACCCAAACAAGGCATCGCTCCTACTCATACCAGATGCCAAACCAGTGTTCCGTAAAGCTAGATCGGTCCCATTCGCCGCATTGCCCACTGTGTCAGAGGAACTAGATCGTCTACAGCAAGCAGGCGTCATCTCTCCAGTGGATCATTCCGAATGGGCAGCACCAATTGTACTAGTCAAAAAGAAGAATGGATCGCTAAGGATGTGCGCAGATTTCTCTACGGGTCTCAATGATGCCATCCAACTGCATCAGCATCCACTCCCAACCGCCGACGACATCTTCGTCACTCTAAACGGTGGGAAGTATTTTTCACAGATTGATCTTGCCGAAGCTTATTTTCAGATTGAACTGGATGAGCAAGCCAAGAAGATGCTATGCATAAACACTCACAAAGGATTGTTCAGCTACAATCGACTGGCTTTTGGAGTCAAGTCAGCTCCTGGATCCTTCCAACAAATCATGGATTCGATGATCACTGGTCTCGAAGGGACAGCTGCTTACCTTGATGACATCATCATCTCGGGCTCAACAATTGAAGAGCACAACCAAAGATTGATGGCACTGATGAAGCGAATCAATGATTATGGGTTCCGGATCCGACTGGAAAAGTGCACATTCTTGATGGAAAGAATCACATTTCTGGGATTCATCATAGACAAAGATGGAAGACGTCCAGATCCTGAAAAGATCGCTGCCGTTCAGCAAATGCCACCACCTACCAACGACGGCCAAGTCCGTTCGTTTCTCGGATTCATTCAATTCTATGGATCGTTTGTCAAGGAGTTGTTCAGGCTCCGCCCACCACTGGATGCTCTCACCAAGAAGGATGCCAAATTCCTCTGGACGTCTCAATGTCAAAATTCATTCGACCGTGTCAAGCAGATTCTCCAATCGGACTTGTTGCTCACACACTTTGATCCGAAGCTTCCGATCATCGTCGCTGCCGATGCCTCGCAATACGGTATCGGAGCAGTAATCTCACACAGATTTCCAGATGGCTCCGAGAAGGCTATCTACCATATCAGCAAAGCTCTAACAGCTCCACAGCGGAACTACAGTCAGATTGAGAAAGAAGCTTTCGGACTCATCAAGGCTGTCACGAAGTTCCACAAATTCCTTTATGGCCGCCACTTCACTCTGAAGACCGACCACAAGCCATTGCTGTCAATATTTGGAGATAAAAAAGGTATACCCCTTTACAGTGCAAACCGTCTCCAGCGTTGGGCTATCATTCTGCTCAACTACGACTTCACCATCGAGTACGTCAACACCAATCACTTTGGACAAGCTGATGCTCTGTCAAGATTGATCTCGGACCAAATCCAGCAAAAAGAATGTGAAGATCGTATCGTTGCTCAAGTCGAATCAGAAGTCATCACAAATCTGGTATCTGCCTGCGAGCGACTACCTGTGACTGCAAACATGATCCGAGCTGCCTCTAAGAAGGATCCACTTCTCAATCAAGTATATAAGTATGTTGTATCAGGTTTGTGGCCCAAAATCATTGATAAAAGCTCACAAATCTCTTTTTTCCACCACCGACGAGACCAACTGTCAATCGTGGCCGACTGCATCATGTTCAACGACAGGATCGTCATTCCCAGCACTCTCAAGGCAAGGGTTCTCAAAATGATTCACCGGGCTCATCCTGGAATCGTGAGGATGAAGCAGTTGGCACGATCTCTGGTATACTGGCCATCCATCGATAAGGACATCGAGAACATGGTCAGGAGTTGTGATCAGTGTGCAGCAGTCGCTAAGAATCCAATAAGGAACACTCTATGTTCTTGGCCAATCCCAACCGCTCCCTGGCAAAGGGTACACGCTGACTATGCTGGACCACTGGATGGAACGTACTATTTGGTCGTGGTAGACGCATTCTCCAAATGGCCTGAAGTCTTCCCAACCACATCCATCACAACTACAGCTACAATAAATATTCTGAGAAAAGTGTTTTCACAATTCGGAGATCCGCAAACGCTGGTAACCGACAACGGAACTCAGTTCACTTCATCGGGTTTCGAGAACTTCTGCAAGGATCGAGGAATCACACATTCACGATCACCACCATTCCATCCACAGTCAAATGGTCAAGCAGAACGTTTCGTGGACACTCTCAAACGGAGCTTAGGCAAGTTAAAAGGGGAGGAAAACGCAGATACTGCCTTATATGTATTTCTGCAGAGCTACCGCTCAACTCCTTGCACCTCCAGCCCTAATGGCTCTACACCAGCTGAGAACTTCATTGGTCGCAAAATCCGAACATTTCTGGATCAACTACGCCCGAAAGACCAACTTCCCAACTCGCATGATACTGAGATGGAGAAGCAGTTCAACAAGCAACATGGTGCACGATCAAGAAGCTACCAAGTTGGAGAAAAGGTTTATGTTAAAGACTACCGTAACATAAATACTGCCACTTGGATTCCAGGTACTATCCAGAAGCGCATTGGACAAACTATGTACCACGTCGCAGTCAACGACACCGTCTGGACCCGACACACCAACCAGCTCCGACGACGTGACGCTCCAATCCAATTCGACGTGCCACTGGACACGATGGATCCAATCGATGTGACACCTACGGCTACTCAACTTCCGAGCAGCTCCACACATACCACGCCATCTCCAGTGAACACTCCAGCTAAGCCGAAGACTCTGCCGCCCAAGCAATACCGGAAGTCTACTCGGATTATCAACCAACCTCCACGTTTGGTCATGAAGCCTAATCAAAAGTCTTATCATTGATTTTTGTTCCCTTTATTTCTAGATTAAGTTTGTAGTCTATCCCCCACTTAATCATCCTTTCCCTTATCCTTGTTCCATCTTAAAAAGGGAGGTGTTGCATTCTATGCATACTTCCATTAGTTTTATATTTGATCTACCAAATTATTTGTGATCTACCCACCTAAGAAGAGCGCCCTTCTCTGGCACTTTTCTTCTTAGTTGTTTCATTGGTCAGAACCCCTCTTTCTTTGGGGCGGACAACCATTCTCGGTCTGTCCTAGTCTCTCCCAGCCTTCTCTACTTTTCCCCCTCTATTCTCGTACATCTTTAGTACCTGAATAAATCTGTATTCTATAACTACTATTCGTATTCCTTGAGCCGGCCAGAATGCCGGATCCTAAGGACGTAACAAAAGGGAATCAGGGTGAAGGAGGAGGAGAATCATTTAGGGGTACTGTAGTTGTGAAGGGAATTTCAATTTCGAGGCAGCAACATATTTCCTTCGTTTTCTTCCTTACGCTGCTCATTTTCTTCAAATACTGGGGTCACTTTCTGAACTTTTAAAATTTGAGATCTGGTTAATGAAGTTTCCAGAAAAAAAAACGAGTTTTTCTGAAGAGTCCCAAGCGAAATCTAAGACCATGCATTCATCCGGCCACGCCAATTTTCGAGCTTCTGAATTAAAACTTTTCTAATTTGATATGTTGTAAAAATACAACTCTCACCTTTCCATGACTGGAGAAGAAGGCAATGTTTTGTTGATTTCCTTTAGTCAGCCCTCCAACAGCTACAATTGATCCATCCGGTGACCACTGGGCGAAGGAGATTAAGTAATCGCATTGGACTGTAGTGACTTCTGGAAAAGTTCATTGAATTGGAAAGAGGAAAACAAAGCCTTATTCGATATGCTCTCTGAATTGAATCGTGTTGTTGGAGAATCCAATAAGAAGATGTTTACACGTCAGGGATTTCGGAGAACCACGGCTCAATGAAAACCACCCGTGACGGAGTTCGCATCAAAAATTCATTGCGATTCATTCCGAAACTATGAATTCCAACTCCCATCTGAAAATTTTGAACTTTCGAGAAGTTGAACATTTGGGACGAGTATTGAAAGTGGGACGCCGCTACCGACTGAGCCACAAAAGCAAAACTGACTCACTAGGATCTCGCCACTTGTATTCATCAACATAACTCCTCCCTTCTTCAACCCTATCGCCACCTTTTCACTGTCTATCCATTGCAAAACCTTTGTTTCCTCATCAACGAACTTGTTTGAAAAGTTCTTCCAATTCCACTCATTTGATTCTCTAAAGACCACTCCCTTCTTTGTTAGAACAACCATATGTGTTTCGTCAGGATCCCATTTAATCTGCAGGATTTCTTGGAGGAATCTGAAACGTTTAAAATTACTTTTCCTATGAATTGATGACCTACTCCTCTCTTTTAAAAAACGTCAGCATTCCGTTCTGATGGTTAGCTTTAAAAAGATCCATAGCTCATCTCGAATCCCAGCCAATCAAAAGTTGTTGTTTTTCATTCCATAAAATGTCGTCGAATTGTTCTAAAACAATTTATTTTAGCTGATAAGGCTGATTTGAAAAACGTTTACGAGTTGCACTTTCTTCAATGGCGTTCCAGCTTCAGAGTTTCCGATTTTCTCTCAATATTGAAAGTTATGATTGAACCGATAGATCCCACCATTATCAAATCGTGATGGAGGTTCTGAGCTATAAAACTCATGATGACTACATCTAGAGTGCCACATGATACTTCAGATTTCTGAAAGGTTCCATTTTTTGACGGATGTGAAAATGTTTAATGTCACCTCTTCCAGGTCCTCCACTTTAATAGAGGCCAGAGCTTTTCCAGAACTCGACATCATTTTTCTTCGACTGATCGCTGAAAAATTTCAAAATAGAGAATAACAAACTTTTAACGCCAAGGAGGTTGTTCAGATAATTCTACTTTGCTATGAAAAACTTGATTACGTTTAAAAGAATAATTGGCTCTTGATGAATCCTATACCTCACACCGTTGAAGTTGGCAAACCCCTCAATTAGCATTCATTTTTCCAGAGCATCGTCGTCTCTTGAGAGCCGCAGATGACATAATACAATGATTGCAGTTTTCATGACGATTTGGTGAGTATAATTGCATCTACTTATAGTATAACAGTCTGTCTGTCAACTTACTAGTCTGTCCAAATCGAGCCCGCGCTCGGTCCGTCGGTTGGCCGTTGAAGCTTTAAAAAAAGAACTAAAAACTCCAGAACCGCTACGCTGCATTATACAGTACTGGTCAATTGATAGGCAAGAACGAATCTTTCAGTTGATTTTCGGCATTTTCACGAGTCTGAAGCATGGTGTCAAGTTTCTGATCGATTTGAAAACTTCGGAGAGTGTAAAACAGATCTAAATCAACAACTTTGCATTCACAGAATTTTTTGGGAATCCCTAGTTTTCAAGCTATGATCCGATTTCTGAAAGTCATCCCTTTTTGGCATGTTTTTGAACTGAAAACGTGAAAAAACAGATGCCTTCCGGATTATATTTAAATAGCTAAAAAATAAGAAATTTTCACAAAATTCTGTGAACTCAAATTTTTCCATCTAGGTCTGTTTCACACCCTCCGAAATTTTCAAAGTGATCGGAAACTTGAGAGCCAAGCCTGAAAATAGTCGATGTCAACTAAAAAAAATATGTTTTGTGTTCTTACTAAACGGTACTGTAGTTCCAATTCAAAGTTCAATTCAATTATCTTTGCTAGTCCCTAACCATATCCAGCTACACTTCCCAAAAAGTCGTCTCTACCCCAGATGACGTCATTCTCCCATCTCCCAATCCACCTTCTCTTGTACACTCGTCCTCTGCTCATTGCCCACTTTTTTCTTCTTCTTGTGTTTTCTGTCCTTTTTTTTCACTACACATTTCTACACACGCGTGTGTGGAGAGGACGGGGAGAAAGTAGAATGGACGGCCAACGGAGCATAGACGGCTCGAAATAGCCCAAATGTTAAACCTGATGAAATGAATACTCATCAGAACAGACTTTCTGATATACAGGACAACTTTTTTTTCCATTTAAAAGAGGACACACAGAAAACCCGAATAGTTTTATTTTAAAAAAATCTTTTAAAGCGACAAGAATTGCATGGAATTCAAATATTGAAGAAGTAACGTAAAAAACCGCGTTCTCTTGCGTATTCTTGTCTTCCTACTCTGGACCACATCAAAAGAAACATTTGCACTGGGCGAGAGAGTACATAGAGTTCAGAGGTTGAGAGTAAGTATTCGGGACCAATGAAAACTAGAGCTGAGGAGGAATGCACCACACGAAAATAAGCAAATACAAGGATCAGAGGAGAAGGAGGAGGATCATTTAGGGGTACTGTAGTTGTGAAGGGAATTTCAATTTCGAGGCAACAACATATTTCCTTCGTTTTCTTCTTTACGCTGCCCATTTTCTTCAAATACTGGGGTCACTTTATGAACTTTTATAATTTGAGATCTGGTTAATGAAGTTTCCAGAAAAAAAACGAGTTTTTCTGAAGAGTCCCAAGCGAAATCTAAGACCATGCATTCATCCGGCCACGCCAATTTTCGAGCTTCTGAATTAAAACTTTTCTAATTTGATATGTTGTAAAAATACAACTCTCACCTTTCCATGACTGGAGAAGAAGGCAATGTTTTGTTGATTTCCTTTAGTCAGCCCTCCAACAGCTACAATTGATCCATCCGGTGACCACATCAAAAGAAACATTTGCACTGGGCGAGAGAGTACATAGAGTTCAGAGGTTGAGAGTAAGTATTCGGGACCAATGAAAACTAGAGCTGAGGAGGAATGCACCACACGAAAATGAGCAAATACAAGGATCAGAGGGGGGGTATAGATCAGGGGACCAGGGCTCGATTAAAACCACACGTGACGTTGTTGGTATCCAAGTTTCATTGCGACTGAGCTCAAAAGTGTGGATCCCCACGCCCATCTGTAAATTTAAAGGAAGATGCATATTGCATTTTGAACTCAGATATCTCACTCCCTGTAAAAGAAATCGAAGATCTGTCAACTGATAAAATGTTTGTCATAATATCACCAACATTTCACCAGTTGACTCATTTTTGATATTTTTTATAGAAATTGAGATAATTGAGCCATTTATCATAGCATAGACGGTAACTCACTAAAACTTCTCCATTCTTGTTCATCATTATAACTCCTCCCTTCTTCAATCCTATGCCCACTTTTTCATTATTGATCCATTGCATAAATTTCGTTTGCTCATCAAGAAATTTATGCGCAAAAGTCTCCCACTTCCAATCATTAAATTCTCCAAAAATCATGCCCGTTTTCGTTGATAAGGCTATAACTTCTTGGTTCGGACTCCACTTCATCGTCAGAATTCCTTGGGGCCATCTGAAATACTTTAAACTATTTTTAATACTCAAAATTATTGACTTACTCCATTCTTTTTGAAAATCTCAACATTCCGTTTTGATGGTTGGCTTTAAAGATTTCCATAATGCCACTTGATCTCCATCCAATAAAAATTTGCTGAATCTCATTCCAGAGACAAAAGTCAAGAAGTCCTAAAACGTTTTTTTACTTGATGAAACCTAGAAAAAATGTTTACCAGTTTCGATTTTTTCAACGGGGCCAACTTCTAGACATTCCGAGTTTCTTTTAATTTTAAAAAGTGAAAGCGCACAAACAGATGCCATCATTAATAGATCATGGCGACAGTTTTGCGCTATGAAACTTATGAAGTTCATATATGGATGGTCACTTTCAATTTTTTTTTGAGTTCTGAAAAGTTCAATTACTTGCTGGGTGTTTTAAAAATCTTCATATCACCTTTTTCTGCTCCTCCAATTTAATAGAGGCAAGAGCTTCTCCAGAAGTCGACATCATTTCAGGCGAATCAAAAAATCTTTCAGAATAAAAAATTAGAAAGTGTTAGACCTAAAACTGGAGAGTATGAAAAACGAGAGTTTTTCGAAAAGTGGTAATTAGCACTTGTGTTATGTTGAGGGGTTGTTAGGGAATATATTTGAACTTTGCTGTGAAAAAAAAACCAAATGACGCTTGGAAAAATAATTCTTGATTGGGTCTTGATGAGTCCTACCTTCGACGTTGACTACAATTATCATGCATTTTTTCAGGGCGTCGTCGTCTCCAGAGAGTCGTAGATGATACACTGATTTCGATGATCATGTCATGTCATTTTAGTGAGTATAATTGTGATTCAACTAAGCCTGTCCAATTCAGGCCGCTGTTGGGCCGTCGGTTGGCCGCTGAAGCTCAAAAAACTCATAACAGATATCTCAGAGTACCCTGATTAAAACGACGCGTACTTTCGGCCCATTTTTGTATTGGAAGCGGGAAAAACATCAGTTCTTTGAAAATCGTCAAGTAGCTGAAAACTAGGACTTTTCGAAAAATTCTGTAAATGCCACGTTTTCAAATTAGGTCTGATTCACACCCTCCACAATTTTTAATGTGGTCAAAAGCTTGATAGTCGAGCACCAGACTCCTGAAAATGATTAAAATGACCAAAAATCAATGTTCTTTTATGTCTCACTGAACGGTGCTGTATGTTACGGCAGCTTAGCTGTGCCAAGGGTTTTTAGAGTTTCTGAGCTTCAGCTGACTACCGTACTGTAATTCCAGTTCAAAGTTCAATCTAATGATCTTTGCTATTCCCTAACTACTGTAAAATCTGTATTAATATTGCGCCTCTATTTGAATTGCCCCTCTAATAGACTTGCACCCCTTGAGGGCACTTGAAAAATAGACTTGCAGCCTTTAATTAAATTGCCCCGTAATTGCATCTGCAGAAGTATTGCGCCTCCGCCGGGAGTACTGTACAATTTTTAGTCTGTGACACCGTGACGAACTATTGCACAGTTGTTTTTCGAATTTCTTTTTTTTTAACTACCTACCTAATTTCTGGTTTATTTTTATTTTTCTTGAACGAGAAATGGAAGAAATTCAGGAGATTTTGGGTGATATTGAAATTGAGGAAGACGATGGAGAAGTGAACCATGCCGAAGAAAAAGACAATAATTATGACAGTGGCGCCTCGATTTTTTGATTTTTTAAAATATGCGATACTTTTCTTTTTTTTTTTGTTCAGTTTGTTACTTTTGTTGTCGATTTTCATAATAAAACAGTTTTTTTTTCAAAATTTTAACCTCAAATTGTAGTTTGAAAAATAGAATTGCAGCCTCTATTTGAATTGCCCCTCGAATAGAGTTGCACCCCTTGAGGTGACTTGAACAATAGACTTGCATGCAATATTAATACAGATTTTACGGTATCCAAGGACACTAATAGCCTCTTCCCGAAAAGTCGTCTCTACCCCAGATGACGTCATTCTCCCATCTTCGTATAGAACCACCTTTGCTACACTCGTCCTCTGCCCATCGCCCAGTTGTTACCCTACTTGTGTTTTCTGTTTCTCTTCTTGTGCTTTTTTTCCACCACAGCAACAAATCACACTACTCACTGCACACGCGTGAGAGGAGGAGGACGGGGGGAATGTAGAGCGGCCGGACGACGAGCCGAGCACAGACGGTCCGAAATAGCCCAAAGGTCAAACCAGATGAGATGAATACTCATAGGAACATCTCCTTAGATACTGCGAGCGGCAGATTCGCATCTTTTCGGGTCGATTGTTGTGGTTCCTAGTAAAATAGCCACTCTCCCACATGTATGCAAATTGTGTTGGCTCTGATGTGTGTATGCTAATCGTGAGAATCTCAGAGCCACGTTATGTTTACAAGTTCCTTGTGTACATAGAAAAAAAAAGAAAAAAAATGTCGAATTCCAATTTGCAGTCCGGTTCCCAACGATTACAGTATTCTGACCTTTTTCCCACATTTTTAATATTGGAAACTGATAGTTTTCCCTCTTTTTAGTTTTGCCGAAACTTGGGAAAATGTATAAAAAGGAGAATGGAGGAGCGCGACCATCAAAATTTTATGGCGCTCTTTATTTGGTCGTTTTACCTCCGTTTTGGTTTTTCAGCGATGGAGAAAAAAATCTGCTGTGTCTATCTGAAGTTATTTGGATCTATGTAAAAACGTTTTTCTGTTTTTAGGCACATCTGGAACTAATTTTTGGGTAAAATGGATTTTGACAATTTGTATGAGTCTGGACCATATCTGCCAATTGAATCTCAGAATGGTTTTGGAGGTAGTTTTCTATTTTCTAGAGCATTCGGTATTTCATAATTTCAGTGTCATCGTCGTCTGAGCCAACTGGAGCATCGGATCAAGCCTCTCAGGTTCAGATCATAACAGGTGATTTAGTATCAGCTTCTAAATCAAACTTTTAGTTTTCCAGAACCTGTTAATCAGTGGAGCCCCATCTCTATTGCTCCAACGGCTCTGCCAACACCGTCGTGTTCTTCCAGTTTGGCGCCAAAATACACATGGAATCAAGGTGAATACTCAATTTAATTGATAGGCAAGGATTTTGAATTTTTAAGAAGATGAAGTAGCTCAGCTCCGAGGAGAACTTGCGATGGAAAGAGAGAAAAGCGTCAGAGCAGAAGCTGGTGAGTTTTTGATGGGATTTTGAATTTAATTGTCTATATTACAGAAATCCAAAAGCTCCAGGCGTCGGAAAGACTCTCGGCTGATATGGTGATAATGCATCATCTTCGTTCTCGTGAATTGGAAAGAGAGAACCAAGCTCTTCAGAGTAAAAACAAAGATCTTGAGAAATGTTTGCAAACGTTTTCAAACACAACGCAACTATTCTCACTTTCAGCTCTAAAAACTACGGTGCAGTCATCATCTTCGTCGCACGGAGCATTTTCTCACGGAGCAGCAGCCATCACTCGAATCAAAAAGGAGATTCTAGAAGACGAGGAGCATTCGATGACTCTCGATGAAGTCAGAGAGATTTGGAGGAAGAAGTTCTCTGGAGGAATCCTCCCAGGAAAGAATTTGAGTAAGTGAACACACTTTGAGTTTTTAAAAAAATGTTTGTTGTTTTTTTTTCAGAACTTGGATGTTACTTCTTCGACCCAAGCACGAATGAGGCTCCCCAGAAAGTCAACGACGCCTCCAACTCGTATATTTTCTATAGAAACCAGCGACCGGCGTCAAAAGGATGTGAGTTCATACGATTCAATCTTTTCAACCAGGTCCTTGTGTTTTCAGATTCAAAATGGAACGAGCTGACATTGATGGAGAAAGAAGAGTGGACCAACTTGTGGAGAATACTCAGAAAAGAGCAGGAACGTCAATGGAAGGCGGGGCTCATCAAGTTTGAAAAAGTCGTGCTATTTAGAATGAAGAAAGAGAAGAGTTTTGAATAGTTGCATATTTTATGTAGTGGTGTTTTGTAGTTTGATTGTTCCTATTGCCTGAATTTCGTTGCATTGTTTGTGTGTCATTGTTGTATGGTAACTTTTTGGATTGTATTCTCTTCCGCTTGCTTTCCCTTCCCCACTCGATTGTTCCAATTTTAAGTCTCGTTTTTTTCTCAATTTTCAAGTTAAATCTACCAATTTATTGCCTCTAATAAATCATTGTTATCCATATCCTGGTGTTGTGATTGTGTATTGTACGAATTAACTTTCACCTTTCTCGGATATCTAGATCCCAGATTATCCAACGACGACAATCTTCAGAACTCAACGCTCAACGACCGTGAGAGTTGTTCTTTTCAGTCGCACTGCCCACCACACAAGAAATTTCTACACATCCTTTACTCTGAACCTCTCACTCACTCTCACTCTCACTCTCACTGAATGGACGAAGAGATGTGCGCGCGCACATGCAACCAGTGCAATGTCCCGTCATGGTGTATGCAGACTTTAGCTGTGTTGCCGGGAAGCGTATAACTTTTAAAGTAAGTTTTCCCCTACTTTTCAGTTTTTCAACGCTGATGGTCAGCCTATTCAATGCTGAGCGTATATTTTTAGAATTAAAACTATGTTAACTTCTAATTTTCCCAATCTTTCAGACATCCTTCACCACTTACACTCGTTTTCAATCGAAGAGTGTATTTCGATTTGCAACTTCCAACCAAAACCTGACCATGGTCCGCTCTACAGCCGTTTTTGGGCATGTTCCGACAAAAACCGGGCTAGCAAAAAATCAGTGAGTTTTTCTTCAAAATTTTTTTGATTTTCTCTATTGTTCCCCTAAAGACAATGAGATTAACTAAAGATCTACATTAAAGATCAATTACAGATTCCGAAAGTCACGTCAGAAATTCATTGTAGTTCCTTATCGGCGGACCATTTGGAACAGTGCTTGTTTGGATTCCAGATTCCAGTGCTTGAATGGAATCGACAATGCACTAGTTGAAGAGACGCATTCAAATAATTCAAAATACGGCGTTCATCAACAAGGATTTAGTGAGTTGTTTAAATTTTTTTAATTTGTCTTCAAAAACTGAAAAAGCTTGTGAAATCTGTGATAAAATGGCCCCTGAACTTTCAACTTTGAGCTAATTTATCTTAGTTCATGTCAAAGGTATGAAAAAGTTGCGAACTAATAAAATGTTTACGATGTTATACTGAACAATTTATCAGTTGACAACTGTTTTATATCATTGACATGAACCGGTATAAATTTACTTGAAGTTATAAGCTAGGAGTCCCCTCTATAATTCCAGGTGCCCACTGCAAGAAGCCCCTTAACCGTCTTTAGATATTTATTTTGCAGATAACGATGACTTTAGGGCGTCGCCTGAAACAACCAAAATCTGAACATGGCCCGCTTTACAGTCATTTGGGAGAAGCCCCAACCCCCAAATCCCTAGAGTCTGGCTAACATTGCTCAAAAAGCCGATACCACCTCAACGTCAGACCAGAAGTAACGCGCCGACATCCAAGTTCACATTGTCAATTTCAAAGAGTAACGATAGGAATACATCAACCGGACTTCAGAGCCACAAGAGAGAATTTGGTAAGTCTTTGATAGTTTCTTCTGGGTTTCAGAAACATCGTCATCCCAGGAAGCTGTGTGATGGAATGATGAGATTGTTGTTTGCTGAAGCCAAACTACAAGATCAGCCACAAAGCAGAATGTGTTGATTTTCATTCACATCCGATTCCTGGAATGAGTGATTACTGGTTCCAACTGGGTGATCGACAATGGAGATGATTACTGTGTTCCTATGTCCCTGAAAGATGTCCCTGAAAAAAAAAGAGTCCTAAAGAGAAGATTCCTGATTCAACTGAAGACAAGTAACCCAGATCAGATAAGCAAAATATGTATTTATTAATCCGTCAATCAAGAAATATTGAGGCACTAATTGTAAGGCTGGACACTACAACTACATGAAAGAGCTGATGATACAAAGGAAGAAACAGGAATCGGATGGGGATGATTTTGAGAATGGTGTTGGTGATGAGAATCTTAATGAATCGGAAGGGGATGGATGACGATTTTGGAGAGCGAGAGGAAGTGGAAGAACAGATATGAGAGCTTCGATTTGTGGAGGTGAGGAATCGATTAAATTGTAGAGAATGCCAAAATGCGAAAAATATGAAAACATTTTTAAAAAATGGGGAAGAATAAGTGGAGACAAGAAATGAGGAAAACAGAGAAGAATCTATGAGATCTATGAGGATCAGGGAATTGGAGACAACAGGTTCAAAACAATTGAATAGAAAAATTATTCTGCTTTCTCTCCATTGGCGGCCTTAGAAGCTTTGGCTGCAGGCTCTCCATCCTCTCGGGTATAGATGAACCCTTTCTCCAACTGGCACAAAAACTCCTTCAACAGTTGCTCCTTCCTTCCGTCCCACTTCTCCTTCTCAGCCGCATCTTGATCTCTCCAACTTCCTTCTGAAAATAGAAAACAGTTAATACCGATTGTTTTCATTTTCCACTCACTGAAGTGGTACGCTTTCTTGAAGGCGTTGAAGAGGTCAGCGGCGCTGACCGATCTCATGGGGACTTTCTGGGGGAGCTCCATATTCTTCTCTGGGTCGAAGAGATTCTTCAAATTGTCTGCAAGAAAACTATATTTTCAGAAGAATTTAATGTTTCTGACTTACCGAAGTATGGATCCTTGTAGATCGAGCACTTCTCATAATGAGCCATAGCCTCGTTCCATTTGAACTGGAACTCGGGGGATCCTGGTGCCAGTGGAGTTTGTTGGAGCACCTTTCTTTTTTTAGTCTGCTCCATGCGTCGGACCTGCTGCAACTTTCTCTGCAGCTCGGGAACTTTGGATGAAGAACTGGGCATGTTGTCCACGTCGTCCATCGCGCCTTGCAGCACTGGAGTCGCTTGGCATCCTCTGGCCCAAGTTGCCACTGAAACTTCTATAATTCTTATAAACCCAATTTTAATTTAAAACACTGACCTTGCGGGCTTTGAAGCACCAACGACACCGCTGATCGTATATAGATGGGCGTTGTGCGCACCACCTCGAACCCGATTGGCTGCGGCTCTGGTCCCAGTTCCCTCTTCTCAATCTCATCCAAAATGTTCTCCAAAACTACCACGACATCTCTTTGGAAGAGAAGGTTGGAGGGAGAGATGCTGACCGTGGCTAAAAAACGAAATTTTAAAAAATGGTGCCGAGAATTAACATAGCAGATTGGATTTTTCACTAACCGTCTCTGTGATCCTCCTGCTTCTCCAGCTCCTCCAAAATGTTATCCAAAACCACAGCCACATCTTTTTGAGTCAGAGGATCGATGTGAAGGACCTCTGTTTGGGTGCCGGTGGTTGCTGAAAAACGAGATTTTTGAAGATTATATTAGAACCAGAAATTAGCATTTGTTAAGATCGATACTCAAATCTATATGCTAAAAAATAGTATTCTTCACCGACCTTCTCTTTCTTCCTTCTCGAGCTCTTCCACAATTCGATCCAGGACTACGGCCACATCTTTTTGGATGAGAAGATCAGAGGGCTGTGGGACAGTCTGGGAGCTGGTGGTGGTGGTGGCTTTCAGTTCTGAAAAGCGAATTTTAAAGAAAATGGAAAGAGAACTTAAAATAGGTATGAATTCAAATGGCTAAAATTAAATCTTTAGTATAAAATCACCAAATTCTGTGTGTGTGTGTGTGTCTGTTTGTTCCCGGTTAGCGGGTCCCAGCAAAGTCCCCACCGGACCGGAATTTCCCAATTTTTCACAGATAACCCGAAATAGCAGCGAAATGATGCCCGTCTATTTTTATTTTGGAAATATCGAAAATTGAGGTCTCGAAACATAAAAAAAAACTTCTTTTTTAGGAACATTTGGTTTTTATATTCTCAAAAATAAGTGGACAAGTTCACGGAAAAGTTCACACCGCCTGCTACTGCTCACAATACCAAAATAAATTTAAAACACTGACCCAGAGGTTTTTGCAGATATTCTACATCAGCCACTCCTCCAATATACACATCCATTGTGCGAACCATTTCAAAGGCGATCGGTTCCGGGTCGGGCTCCATCTCAAGCTTCTCAACGTCATCCAGCATCCCATCAAGAACAACAGCAACATCCCTGGAGATCAAGAGATCGGCGGGAAGGAGGTCCGGTTGGAAGCTTTCTGAAAAGCGAAAATAGAAATCGAACTAAAAGTAAGTTGCTAGCGAAGTGCATTTTTTACCTGTTGTGGCTTCGGTAGTGTCCAGTCCCTCTCTGGCGTCTCGGTTTTGAGCACAAATCTGTGCAATTGTCTCCAGCGCCGATTTTCGAGCTAAAAATTCATTAAAATTGAGCGAAGGAAATTCCTCTCACCTGATTCTGGCGCCAATGGAATCAACTTCTTGAAGAGCGGCAGCATGGACGAAATCAACGCTTCAACATCTTCGGCGGAACTTTTTGGAGGCTTGATAGGAGCTCCCATTCCCGGAGACATATAGAATTGCACCCATGGAGATGGGTACTTCTTTTGCACGCCTGGAATAGACGGCTCTCCTAAAAATTTGGTGATGTTCCGAAATTAGAAAGCTACTTTTTCCAAACTCACTTCTCTTGCTGTTCTTCACTGCCCAATGAATGGCATATTCGAGACGGTAGAGGCTGATGACTTCAGGAATATGAGTGTAGTTCATATTTTCTTGAAAAAATTGATTTGAAATGTGCGTAATGGAACAGAGGAGATAAGAAAGTAAGCTGAGAAAATGAAGAATTTCTTAAGAAGACGCGAGAGGAGACAACAGTAAATGTACGAAGCTCCGCCCACATGAAAAGGTGAGTACCACGAGATATAATCATAGATTTATGATGTTTTTGCCACTGGAGTTTGGCACATAATTTGGAGGGTACAACAATTCGGGAGTACAACGGGGTACATATCGGGGGTACAAAACTAAGCCTTTTTCAGGTATTTTGTACCCCCGAATTGAAGATTTTGTACCTCTAAATTGCTTTGTACCCCAATGACACCTAAATTTTTGTACCCTCCGAATTATTTGCCCTGGAGTTTGTTGTTAGAAGATTTTAAAGATTTTTATCAGCTTGGGCGTACTTCTGGTCGGAGGTTGGTCAGATAAGACCACGATTGGAGCCGACCAGGCTTTGACAATGGCCCGCTATAGAGCCGTTTTTGGGCAAAAAGAGCAAAGATAGTAAAGGCCAATCTCAGCAGATCGTGACCTTTAGAGAGGAGAAAAAAAGAGGGAAATGTGAAAAGGGTCGTGAGAACTTTGGAATTTTCGGAACAGCGAAAACATTACAGTACAATTTTCAAAATCTAGGCTTGTAGTGACTTGAGCCTTCTGCATACCGTAAAACCTGCGTTAGAAGGGCTTTCTATTGTTCCGAGTTGCCTCCTGAGGGCCCTTCTATTACAGGGGCCCTTGAATTAGAGGGGTCCTTTTTATTTTTCCGGTCATTTTTTCCACGTTTCGAAGGGAGGTCCTTGAGGGCCCCCTTTATTACGAGAGCACTTCTATAACATGGGTCCTACTATTCCTCCAAGCTCCTCTCGGAGGGCCCTTCTATTAAAGGGACCCTTCTAATACAGGTTTTACGGTAGTTTATTTTTTACGTTGAGACAGTTTTTGAGCGCGCACACACACAAACACACACACACCACACTTACAGGTTAGGCTTCAACTTAAATGTATCAGCCTAGGGAACCGAAAAATCTCGAAATCGTGTGATTTCATTTTTTTATCATGGTTGTTTACTAGTACAGAAAACTCCAAGGAAAACAAAATTTGAAACACTACTCCCCGCGCGGAGGCACTAAATGAAAAACGAATAGCTGCCAGAGGAGGGTGTGTGGAGAGAGGATGATCAAAACGGGCGGTCGAATAGGAAACGAGGGGGAGGGTCAAATGTGTTTTTGTGTGTGTGTGTGCTGCACTAGAAAAGGAGAAAAAATGGAATGGGAGGACGGGGAGTATAAAAGGAAATGTAGTTGTATATGGTGAGAAAAACTAGGAAATGTCAGGAGAATAGAAATATGGGAAATGGAAGTTTTGAAATATGTAGAGGAGAAAAGAATATGAATAATGACAGGGTTTATATCTTATTGGTGGCTCTTGACTATAATCCAATTCTTCCGAATCTGGTCCTCATGCTCCAGCCGGAGCTTCACCGCGTGCACCTTCCAAGTCACATACAGTAATCCATTCTGCGCATTTTTTCGCTCTTCCCATCTCAATTCTGAAATAAGTTATATTACGAAAGGCAAGTTTGATTTCAATTATCTCAATTCCAGTACAAGATATCAGAAAAAGTGTCAACTGATTAATTGTTAATCATCAGAAGTTTTTGGTTAGTTGATAAATTTTTGATAACTTTTACAGAAAATGAGGTTAATTGGCTCAAAGTTAAGGGGTCCCTACTATAACAGGTTTTAAGATATCTTTCTATTATACCTGCTCTTTCCCTTGTAGTCCGATAGCATTTTTCGGTTTCGATTGAATACTGAACATACAACTCTTTCTCATCGGCAGGCTGTTTGACTAATTGCGGCTTTTTTGGATTTTTTGGATCGAACAAGCTGGATTTGTCCTCTAAAAAAGTTCTATTGATTTCAGTTGATCCTAATACAACTCACTAATCATTGGATCTTCCAGATACCAAAAAGAGGAAACTCCTGTTAGTTTTGGTGTCAGAGCGACTGTAGAATTTGGGAGCTCAGGAAGCTTAGGTGGCTGATCAGAATCCAGGAAAATGAATCCTTGCTTTAGTTGATCCTCATGTGTATTTTTCAGTATGACAGCTTTTAATTTCCAGGTCCAAAACAGGAAATCGTGGTTTTGGTGTCTGGATTTGTCCCAATAATCCGCTGGAACATCTCGTTCTACAGCAAGCTAAATTCATCCCAACTCACAGGCGGTTCCCTCATTTACACAGCTTCTTAAGACAAACCATCTGACAAACAGCTCTTTTTCATTCATTGGGTTTTGCACTATTTGTGGGATCTCCAGCTTCTTAGGATCAAACAAAAGGCAAGCGACATCTGTAAGAAACTTCGCTCAAACTTCTGAAATTTGAAACATCACTCACTGTATCCGGGCTTTTGGTACAGCAAACAAAACTGGGAACACCGGAATGCAAAATCATACAATTTCTGCTGTTGGTCTGAAAATTCTGGAACAATGGGCGCTTCAGAGCATGTTAGGGAAAGTTGAAGGAACTCTGGTCTTCGCTCAGTTGGAACTATAGAAGAGGCGGATAGGTAAGGGAGACTGGGAAGGTAGATAGTAAGCCATAAGGGTTCTGGAGAGTCTTCTGGAACAAAAGAAATGTATTGAAAACTTTGAAAATGGGGAGGGTTACCATTGAATCCCATAATTTGGGATGTTCTGGAGCGGGTATTGACTTGTGAAACGAAACTTGACTTTGGAGCATATTTTGACCTTTTTTGAACCTTTTTCCTAATCCTTTTTTCATTTTCAGATTTGCTGGAAGCTGATTTTGGTGGACTCCGAGGGCTCATCTTCAAGAACAAATAACTTGAAGAAGAACCTAGATTGAGTTATGTCAGATAACCACAAATTTGGGAGCCAAGAAGAAGCTAGATCAGAATTTCGATCCCGCCCATTTTTTCCCTTTGGTGGTACACACACGGAGTCTGATGATGTGATATCTAGATGATGTATGCTTCGCTGAATTATTGTAGTCAAATAAGGGTAAGAAGAGCGGAAAATTTAGATCATGTGCGGGGAAAACACAGAATTACGGAGAAAGGGGAGTCGAGAATTATGTTTTAGAAATCAGAAGCTGGGGGTAAAATGAAAAAGAGAAAAAGAGCAATGAATCTGAATAAAAAAAAGCGTAAAACCTTTAATAGAAGAGCCCCATACATTTATGTTCGAGCTCAATTATCTCGGTTCCGGTAAAAGATATCAAAAATGTGTCAACTAACAATACACTTTCCATATTATGATAAAAAATTTATTAGTTGATAACTTCTTGATATCTTTCTTAGGAACTGAGATATATTGACTCGAAGTTAAGCTAAGCCGAATATCTCATCGTTAAAACTACAGTATCCCTGAATGATCCTCCTCCCCCCTCCTTCCCCCTGATCCTCTTTTATTGCTCCCATCGTGTGTGTTCTTTGGTCCATTCCTCCTTTTCTCTAGTTTTCATTGGTCCCACATAGTTTCTCTAAACCTCCTATTTATATGTTTTCTCTCGACCAAGTGTTGATGTTTCTTTTGTTGTGGTCTGAATGGGTAGAAACTGGAAGCAATGAAATTCATTTTAGTGAAAAGCTGTGAAAAAATGACTATAATTATAGAATGCTGAAAAAATAGTGAATATCCGAGGTATTGAAATGAGGAAAAGGAAAACAATTAGTGAAATTTAAAATCGGAGAGGTCTAGATAGATTGTAGGAAAGGCAATATGAAGAACATCAGTCGCTGTCGACGTCGTTGCAATCACTTTTCTCGAAGACGATCCCTGAAAAATCGATATTACTGGTGACAGGCTGAGCAATACCCCTACAAAACATTGAAAATCTTACCGCATCTTTTCCAGGTGTTATTCCCGACCATTGCACCCTTGGAGCGCAGGATAATGCTCTCCTCCAGGATCGTTTCCAAAATGTTTGTCTTTGAAATTTTTGAAGAGGTCGGACCCTCTGAAAATTAGCGATAAATCCAAACAAAAAGGAAAAATGGAACTCACTCTCGAAGATCTTCTTCGCGGCGGAGAGGCATTTGCCGAATTCGAAACATTTTGTCTTCTGAGGCTCAACGATGAAGGCGGTGTTCAAAATGACATCCATCTTCTCTGGAATTTCAAATTTTAAAAGAATCAAAAATTTGGAAACTCACTTTTCTTCAGTTTTGCCTCCTCGAAACTCTTCCATGGGTACTTAGTGGCCATATATTCTGGAAAAAACTGATTTCTTTTGTTTAGATTCTTATTTCAAAACTCACTCATATTCTCTTCTCCGTACATGCGCATGTTTGTTTATTGAAAGAGTGGTTGGGTTGATAAGCTGGAAAAAAATAATTTAAATCTCAGAAAACAAAACAAAAGGAATGCACAAGTCAGGTCTGCTCAATGACTCCAAAAGTGTGAAGATTCGCAAGATTACCCTATGTTTATACTTGTAATACAATACCAATATTTTGACTCCTCCTCTCATGGTGGTCCGTCTGCCACACCTGATGAGCATCCGCGTGATTAAACTACAAACAGTAGCAGAAGAACGAAACCAAATGGACACAGAGCACGTGAGATGAAACAGAAGAGATGTGGCAAGTGGGTACTTCCTAATCGGATGCGTTTGTTGGGGTCAAAAGGGTATGGATATGAAAGACAAACGTACAAAAAATACATTATAAAAGAACGGTATATGAAAGGGAACACTTCCAGAAACAGGATGAAATTTGAGATATGGAACGATGGATCCAGAACTGATAATGAAGGTCAGGAAGTTCTGAAAAAAAAGCCTGAAAATCGATCATGAATCAATCCTTTCTAGTGTGTGATTTGCGTTTAGCAGCTGATGATCTTCATAATACTTTGTTCTCAAATTTCCAAAATTTCTGGCTCTTGCTCTGAGTTAACATTCGAAGTATAACTTGTAACTGAAGAGCTCCCTAACTATAAATTTTGAGCCGATTTATCAATGAAATCCCCAAAAAACGCCGTTTAAAAGGAAAAAAATTCAAAAAAAGGTGCCGCCGAGGGACGAGGATTTTCAGTGAGACCCCTAGGCCACGCGAGCGGCGCGACTTTTTTACCGTACAAATTTTCCGGATTTTTCTTGCTTTTATCTCCGACAGGTAAAAAACATTAAAAAACACTGTCGGCCACTTGAAAATAATGCTGTCAGGCGCCGTGGCCTAGGTTTCTCACTGCGCGGGAATTCAAATCCTCGTCCCCCGGCGGCACCTTTTTTGAATTTTTTTCATTTTCAACGGCGTTTTTCGGGGATTTCGGATTTTTTTTGAATTTTTTCGCAATAATATTAGGAAAATAGATAAATTTTAACACATTTTAATGCAAGAAAAAATTTTTGGTCGGAGTCCCTCTTTAATATCCATCACCCCACATCACCTTTTTCAAAACTCCCATATTATCTTCTATTCCACCCAGATGACGTCGTCAACATCTTCCTTCATACACACCTTCTCGTTTGTCTTCATTTTTCTTCCCCTTCTCTCGTCGCATAGTTGTAGCTGCCCGCATGCCCTCTTTCTCTCTCCCTTTCACCTTCTATTTCCACTTCGCCTGACATCGAGCCAGCAACTTCCCAACGCGTGAGGGCCGATGATGATGATCACGACGAGAATGTGGCGGAGAGGGATGACATGACACCAAATCGGAGTTGTAGAAAAAGAGCACAGATAGTAAAGGTCAATCTCAGCAGATGGTGGCATTTGAAAGAAAAGAATATCATTGGAAACAAGGGAGACTACTGGAAAAGGACACACCCTAAAAACTAATGGTTGGGGATGATGTGAGAACTTTGGAATTTTTCGAATATCGAAAACTGTATATTTTAAAGATCTAGGCTTCCAGGAGGTTGAGCTTCTAGTCTTTATAAATTGTCGGTTGATAGAAAAAAGTTCGAAATCAGGTTCCTGGGATTTTTGTCTCACAAATTAGATTGAGAGACCTTCTCTTTCTTATTCTGCATAACACCATCTGTATATTGGTCTGTAACCCTTCCCTTTTTTTCTTAATCCTCCCCTATTCGGCGGCTCTCCATTTCCTTCAAGCCATCCTCCTCCTTTTCCATCCCTCCTTCCAGGACCACCCACTGTGCTCTGTCGATTAGTGTGTCTTTCTTGTTTTAACTATCCGTCTAATACCGTCTATGACCTGTTTGTTCGTTTTTCCTTCTGATCATGGACCGCTAATCAGGTTGAATTAGTCTTCTGTGCCACCGTCACTGTTGTCTAGAATTGTGAAACCGAGACACAACATTTAAAATTTAGAAAAGGTGTACTTTCTGAATTCTTTCAACTTAAAAGTTTTAGGCAGCAGGTCACTGTATAATCCTGGGAATTTGAACGATAAATTGAAAAAGATTGTTCGGATTTTTCCAAATAAAGAGTAGCGTTGACTTCGAGAGCAAATCCCTGCTGATTTTCCCGCTAAAATTGAGTTGTTGTCGATTAATGATATTTCTGTGATTATTTGCATGCAACTTTGTGTTCACTTTAATTTTAAGGTGGTGTACGGTGAAATTTTTGTATTGCATCAAAATGTGCAGAAATGCATGTAGATTGACATAAAAATAAAGAAAAAATTCAAAAAAAATTCCTTCATCGAGAAAAACGCATCGAAAAATACGCTGAAAGCCCTTAGGGTCGAAATTTTTTCTAGGCCGCCCGGTGAGTAAAAGCGCGCGAATTCAAACTTTCAAAATGTTTTCTCTCGTTTTCACTGTTTTTTCAAATTTTCCGATGTATCTGGAAGAAAAATTGACAAAAACCTAGAAAACTCTTGAAAAAACCGAAAAAAAGTGAAAACGAGCGAAAAAATTTTAAAAGTTTGAATTCGCGCGCTTTTACTCACCGGGCGGCCTAGAAAAAACCTCGTCCCTAAGGGCTTTCAGCGTATTTTTCGATGCGTTTTTCTCGATGAAGGAATTTTTTTCGAATTTTTTCTTTATTTTTATGTCAATCTACATGCATTTCTGCACATTTTGATGCAATAAAAAATTTCACCGTACACCACCTTTAAAGGAGCATCACGGCCTCCCGCACGAGAAATGCGCCTTCGAAATGTCCATTTCTCTAGCGCTCTCTCCTCTCTCGTTTTCAACAGGAATTATTTTTTATGTAGAATTCGTCCAAGAAACTAGGGTTTTTCGAAGTTTAAAATGTTTTTCTTGTTTAAAACTTAAAGTATCCCACCTTTGTCATCTCATGAGGCTTTAATGACTTTTTTCCTTCAGTTTATTATCCTTGTCTGAGAAAAAAAAGGTTGAGACGCAGAGAAAAAGTGTCTGTGTCTCCACCTTATGTGTGCTATTTAGGCTCTCCGCTTCGATATCGCTACCGTATTCAGACTGCAAAAAATACTCTCTAACCTTTTTTTTTCTCAGACAAGCATAATATCTCGGTTTTATCTGGTTGTTTGTTGTTGAATCACCTTTCACTTCACTATAATGAGATAAAAGTATTTTAACTTATTTTTC